TTGATATGATCGCAAAATTTGAAAAGTGCTCTGAGTACATAGATGACTGTCTTGGAATGGAATATCCATTCAAAATGAAAATAATCAGCCACCTAAATCAAATCAAGTTCAGATAGTCATTTATTGTTCTTCAGTATTATTATTGTAAGGATGCCTCTATTCCTGGCGTCTGAAATTTGGAGCTCCCAGGGCTCAGGCCTCTGCCCTTTATTCTTCTGTGTCCTAGCTCAGTCCTAGGTGACCTCACTCTTTCATAAGCTGTGATGCTGAGTTCATGCCTCTGAACCCAGCATCATGCCTGAACTCCCATGCATATAAGGACATCTAAATCCAAATTCTCCATCCTCAGCCATCCCAAACTACCTTTTCCTCAGTGCTCCCCATCTTGGAAAGAGCAGCTCCATTCTCCCGCTGCCTTGTCCTGGCCTGCTTCCTTTCCTTTTCTCATATTTCATACCCACTAGTCAGCAAATCCTAAAATCAGTCATTCCTAAGAGCACGATGACGCTTTTCCATCTAGAATACAACAAGAGCTTCCTAAGGGATCATAGAGCTTCCAGTCTTGCTCCCCCAGAACTAGTCTCAGCATACCAGCCAGGTGACCTTTCCAAAACATTAAGGATTCACGGCCTTCCTCTGCTTTAAACCCTCCAGTGGGTTTCCTTCACCCTGTCTTTTTCACAGCCTATGAAGCCCAAGACAATCTGCCCTGGACTACCTCTCTGTCCTCCTCTCCTACTACTCTCTCTCTCTTGCTCCCTTCTCCAGCCACACCAACCTCCTTGCTGTCTCTTCAATATACCAGTCAAGCTCCTACCTCATGGCCTTTGTACGTGCTGTTACCTCTGCCTGGCCTATTCTTCCTCCAGATAGTCTCATGGGTCCTTCCTTGACTTTATTCAAATCTCTGCTCAAATGCGAGCATCCTAACTAAAACAGCACATAGACTCCCACCCCAGTCTCTGCTTTTCTCTGATTTCCCCCCCTAGTGCCTGACATTCTATTTTATTGGTTTATTGCCCTAGCTTGAATATAAGCCTGATGGGGCAGAGAAAGTCCTTGCATCTTTTGGTCACAACCCCAGGGACTAAAATGGTGCCTGACACACAGTAGATGCTCAATTGATAAGTGATGGATAAATGAATAACTATTATCTTAATTTATGCAGAGTTTCTCAGTTTATAAAGTAGCTACGTATACAGTGTCTTAACAAGCCTTCTAACAGTTTGTGGGATAGGCTCTGTTATCTCCATTTTGCAGGTAAGTTCTAAGTCTGCTTACTCTTTTTGAAGTCCCTTGTTCAAGGTCATGCAGCTCTTGGTCACATAGGTCAAACCCTGGTCTTTTGCCTTCAAACCCAGTTTAATAATCATAATCATAAAGTATTATTAACAATATTTAACAGTCTATGAGTACTCCTTTTGACGTTTGTAGTATTTCATTTAACAATGCTTTGAGGTAGGTACTCTTCTGATTGCCATTTTACAGAGGAAGAAACTAAGTAACTTACCCAAGGTCACAGAGCGGCTAAATGGCACAGTCAGAATCTGGGTCCTGGGTACTTGACTCCGAGGACTTGTTCTCCAATCAACTAGCCCACTAGGCACAGCCTGTGAAGTGAATAGAACTAAGTAAACTGTGGAACTCAAATGGACAAATACCAAATCTGTTCTAGGACTTTCTGCCATCCTTAAGCTCTTTGCTTTTGCAGAATTTAGCAGAACTTTTCTCTCTCTAAGATCATGAAGTGGAGAGTTGTATCTCAAATGCAATTTACATTATTTTGTTTTCTGCTATTCATTCATCTTTGAAATGTTTGAAACAGTTGTTTCTGAACTGAGAGGTCACTTAGGATTCACGGGCAGGGCTCGTGGCGTTTCCGGTAATTTGTCCTTCTGCCTCCTCCGGTAGCTTCGTGGTGCTTTCGTGGCCAAGTGCACAGGCTGTGTTCCCTTTGAGCTTCAGATTCTACTCCTCCTCCTCACCCCATGACATGTCTTGTTTCATAAATTCTCGCCTTCAGTGTATTACATAACCTACATTGTGGAACATTCCATTTCTATTCCTTTCCTTTCTTTTCTTTTTTTCAAAAAGTAGGAATCTATTTGATTGGATGTGATGGCACCGGAGGCAGATATGTGGCAAAATTTTAAGTGGTGAGAAATCTATCTCAGCTACCTGGATTTTGAGAAGCAAATTGTGATTCCCTAACTCACTTTGTATTGAACTGGATAAGTTAGATGAACTAAAATAGCTTTATTGGCTTGTCTTCTTGTCTCCAGGTCAAGCAAGTGTCTGCAAGGGCTGCCTATTTTCTTCTCTTTCTGGATATTCAAATTATTAACTTGAAAAGTAGGCATGAAGTTACACAAACACAGCTGGGTAACTTTAAAATATCAAACCCCTTGGATCTTAAATAAGTAAGCACTCAGATGTTGAAAAGCAAATCAAGTATTTTAATTGTTTCTTAGTTCTTTATAACATAAAGGTTCTTAGCATTTATCTGGGAATAGACTGGGTTCCTTCAGGTCAGCACGGAATCTGTTCACCCAGGTATCCCCACAATCTGGCACATAGTAGGTGATCACAAGAGTAGGTGATTAACATGGTAGGCACTTGATAAATATATGTTGTAGCTCTAGTACTGTCTTTTATTGCCTATTTGCAGACTTGTGTCACACACTTTCCATGCACAAGTGTGTGTGTGCACACACACGTGCACACTAGGTTGTGAGCTCCCAAAGGAGAGGATTTGTGTCTTGTTCATCTCTGCATTCCCTTATATAGAACCACCAGATAGCAGGTGATAATTAAATGATCACTGAATTGAACAGCACAAGGATTTTAACTTCTCTTACTCGATTCATATGCCCTTCGCCCATCCCACCTTGTCCATTTGGCTCTCAGGCCAGACTGCCTAAAACCATCACATCAATCTAATCAAGTATCTGAAAGTCAGAGACCTTGAAATTATTTAAATCAAGTTCAGAATTACATTTTTAAATTTACTCCAGCCATCTCATAAGTAGATTTAGCAACTAGCTAACTGCTATCCCAAGAGGAAAAAAAAAAAAACAAAAAACCAATAGCATAAACCTAATGAATGTGGTCAGACATATCATGTAACAGATGTCCAACGTACTGCCATGAGCTTAAATCATAAATATGATGGCTCTGTTTGGCATAGCAAAATGTATTAGAAGTGTTTCATCGGTCACTGGGCAACTTGCTAGATGGGAGGGGAACAATCCTGAAAAATGTAGGAGCTCTGACTAGGAGCATCTCACAAGGAGCCCTGGAGAAACACAGATAATCTGTTTGCAATGATTCGTCAAGTTGGTCCTTTGTTTCCCTAATTTGAGTGTCAAGTGCGACCATACAATAAAGAATTGCCAAGACCCGATAAGATTCTCTTCTGGCTGCTGCTTTTTCTGCCCTAACAACTGGTACTATTCATGCCTAGAGCACAAATTGAATAAATAGCTTCAAGGCTGGCAATATTGGATCGTGTTTTGAATTTTTTGTTTTTCCTTAAAAGGCAAAATCCTATGTGTGTCTTGCCTTCCCCCAAACACATGGCATGGACAGTCACTGTGGTACCAATAATTTTAACTTTCTTAATACTAAGTATGGAAGGATGCCTCATAAGTTAAAAATAGTTCCTGTTGTATCATCAGTGGAGCAATGGATTACTGAAGATTAAAAAATGATTGTAATGCCTTTTTTGGCCTTGAGAAAGCTCTTATTGTGCCTATGGTTCAGTTGGCCTGCTGATCATTTCCATCTTAATGTAATCTTTAACATTACGCTGCTACAGGTGAGGTGTTAAGTAAAACAAGTAAGACAACTATTCTCGCTGAGCAATTTCACAAGAAATATGTTTTTTTGACTAAATTAGACATTTAACAAATGCCATTTGTAATTCAACCCAGGGAGGGGGAGGGAGAATGTCCTTAAAACAAGCTATTGATGTGAATTTCCCAACATAAGACAATAATTTTTAAAAATTTTAATCTACATTCTAAGTGTGGAACTATGTACTGTCAGTGCAGTAGACCAATACAAGGAGAACACCAAAGTCCTTAGGAGTCTTAAAAAATAAACAGTAAGCAGTTTTATCTCCAGCAGCCAGAAATCTTTCCTCACAATTAGGAAGAATCTACAGGTCCAGTTAATCATGTGGCTATGATGTGCTGAATGTTTCTAACACTTGAAATCATTTAGATGACGGCTAGAAACCTCAAAGTTCTGTGAGAAATATAAACTGTAATATTTAAAATAAGGAAATGAATTAAATAATTTAGATGAAAATTTAGATATAAAGGTTGCATGACAGTAGCCGGCTTTAAAAAGTAAAATACAGGGGGATGTTAGAAAGCCTACAATTGGACAACCGAAATAATAAATAATTTTTTGGAAAAATTATTTCCTGTCAGATTTCCCCATGCTAGGAGCATAGATGCAAAAACTATAAATAGAGCAAGTGACATTTGGACAGTTGACTTGTTTTTATCAAAATTACAAAACAGAATTTAGTTTGAAAATTTTCAAATAGCTATCATGTTCTGAATCCAAGTGGGTTCTCCTTCCTTTTTACTTGATGACTTCATTAAAGATAAATAAGCCCTCGGACCAATAGGTGGGTACACTAGCACGGTTAACTCTCTCACTCCAGAAATTCCACTAGGCTGAAAAGATTATTATTTGGGGGCGGGAAGGGGCGATGCAGAGGTCTTTAGGACCCAGCAGGCGGCGGCAGGCGGCAGTTGTGTAGATCACTGAGAGACTACGAGGGTCCGGTTCAGTTTTAATTCTGTCTCTAATCTCTGCAACAGCGGTGCTTCCTGGGTCCCGCGGCTCTCCTACCCACTCAGCCGCCGCCGGCGGCCGGCGAAAATCAGAGCCGCCCGCCCCCCCCATCACCCACCATGGAAACCCTCCAAGAAAAAGTGGCTCCGGACGCGTGTGCCTGAGGATTCCTCACAAAAGAGGTGCCCAAAATGAAGACCCTGATGGTGAGTCATTTGTGGCAACTCCTCTGAGCAGAGGCGGGGACCCCCGGACGCGGCGTCCTCAGGGCGCACGGGAGAGCTCCAGGGGCGCCTAACCCTGCGCCGCGAGGTCGCTAGTTAAAAAAGGACAACTTTCCACCTGCTCCGTGTCCCCTTCCGGTTCTCCGGTTCTGCCTGGCTCGGAATCCCGGAGCCGAGGTGGGAACTCGGGTTGCCTCGGCTTCTGGATCTCAGGCGAGAGGTCTGGGGACCCATGGAGAACTGGAGAAGCGGTGGAGAGATGGTGGGCGCGTGGCTCGGGGCAAGGGGGATGCCCAAAAGCAACAGCCTGGCAAAAACTAAGAGGGGCGGGGAAGGGGGGGGGACCTTTGCAGACTTTGTTGGTTTTCTTGTCGGATTTCAAACTTGCAAGAATCGCGGAGGTAGAGCCGCGCGGGGCCAGAAAGGACCGGGTGCAAGGGCTAGAGGTTCCAGCCGCCGACTTGGGGGAGGGAGGTCCCTCCTCGAAGTCCGAGCCCACCTCTGCCCCGGCAGCCGGCGCGCTTTCCCTCCCCTAGCCGGGCGCCGCGCACCACCTGCCCTCTGCCGAGAGATCTGGGAGGTGGCGTCGGCCGAGAGCAGCAACGCTCGGGAGCATCCCCTGCCGTACGCGCAGGGACGCTGCCTCCCCTGCCCCGGCTGCGCGCGGGGGACTAGGATCCGGGCCACCTCCCTCCAGCCTCGGACCTCCCCCGCGCGTCTGACCGTCTCGCGCGTGTCCCCGCCGGCGCGCTCCTCCGGGGCTGGCTCTCAGCGGCTCTCCTCTGCTCTCTCCCGCCCGCCCGCAGCGCCATGGTCTGGCTGTGTGTTTAGCGCTCACCACCATGTGCACCAGCTTGTTGCTCGTGTACAGCAGCCTCGGCGGCCAGAAGGAGCGGCCCCCGCAGCAGCAGCAGCAGCAGCAGCAGCAGCAGCAGCAGCAGCAGCAGCAGCAGGCGGCGGCGACCGGCAGCGCGCAGCCGTCGGCGGAGAGCAGCCCCCCCTCGAGGCCCCGGGCCCCCGCGGGACCGCAGCCGCTGGACGGATACCTCGGCGTGAGGGACCACAAGGTGACAGCTCGCTCGCCGGCGCGCACGCCACCCAGCCTGGGGATCCCGCACACCTGAGCCTGCCCCCTTTCCCGGGGCTGGGAGGCGCCGTGAGTAGGTGCCATTCGGAGGATGGAAGGGGGCGCGGACCCGCTGGGGTGGGGTGGGATAGTTCCTTCTCGGTGTGAATTCCTGTTTGGAGTCGGAAGTAAAGTTTTTCAGGGAATAGGGGTGAGACGAGTGGACCCAAAGCCCAATTTCCTTACAGGAACTAGCCTGGAAGTAGAACCTTCTGGTCCCCAGAACTGCAACCGCGGGTGGGTGCAGGGTGCCTGAAGCGTCGGGTTTGGCCGCCAAGTCGCGCGGGGGTGGGAGGAGAGCCGGGATCGCGCGCGTAACGCCGGAGCGTGGCCCGCGGAACTGGAGGGTGAGTGGCAGCCAGTCCGCGGCGGCTGCTGCGAGATTCCTCTCTGATCTCGGCGCTCCTGATTGCTCTGGGCAGAATTACCACCGCCTTGGGGAGCGGTCCCAGGCAGTAGCGGAAGGCTGGAGGCACAAACTCAGCTTCCATTGGCTTGAAAACTCATCGTTGAGGGCCTGTTTTTCTCTGCCTTCCGGGAAGCCGTAGCATGGCTTGGCTAATAATTAATAAGATGGATTTTTTTTTTTAATTGAGCCTTCTACCCCCCCAAGTGATAAATCTCTGGTTTTAGTGCGCGAATCCTCTGGGAGAATTCTAATCAAGTTCCCTGATTCTGAAAAGATATTTTAATATAGTTTAAATATATATTCCCCATTATTTGAAGCTGCTAATATGTTTTTATTAAAACACAATTCCACTCTGTATCTGCTCTATAAAGGCTGGAGGATTTCTTGAAACCACCCAGCTATTCCGCTTTTTATATTACTAGATTTTATATCTGTGAACCAAAATATGATTTAGCAGGTGGCCCTTTTCCGTGAAATGATTGGTCTTACCGTTATGAAAAAGTCAAACTTTTTTTTAAGTGACAGTCAAAATATTTCCACTCATTTGTGCAATGCACATTGCAAAGAGGATTTTGGAGGGTAAACATTCTATGCAGCTGCTAGGGATCTTTGAATGCTTGTGGAAAAAAAACAACATACCATGAAATGTGGATGGATGGATAGATAGACCAATAGGTATAATGTATAAGAAATGCTAGGTATAAAACAGTACTGTTGGGGTACAGAAATGAGAACCATCACTGTCCAGGAAGGTTTAAGGAAATTCTCTCTGAAAAGGTCGACTTTGCCCTGGGGAGAATTTGGGGAAGCAGAAAAGAGGAAGGGATTTCTTTAGGAAGTGATTTGGGGACTGGGGGAGAGGGCTGGTAAGAGAGGGTCTTCAGTTTTTCAATAACAGCTTCACTTTTCTCTTTAAGATGTTGATTGATTACACTCTTTATATGTCTAAACAACCTATAAGGGCTGGAGTTCTAGAAAACTTTAGACATTGGCTTCTGACTGGATGGATGTGGTGTTTATGTGTAACTGGTATAGGATGAATATATTGAACTTGGTGGATTTTCATGGTGTTGTTTAGTGGAAATGGCTGTATAGCACTCGTGAAGCTTTGATTAATGGGGTGTCAAAAGGTAAATTTGCTGAAAGCTTTGATCTGCCTTTGGGATGGTATTCCTAATACTTTTCTTCCTGTGTTCTGCTGGATGGACAGCAGCTAAGAATATTGATAGCATAAGGCAAAATATATGCCCTCATGTTTGTTTTCAAAAATGGTGTTTATTCATGTAAATATATTGGATTCCATTTTCAATGGATTAGAGTATTATTCATTAAGATGAAAAAGCCCTTTTTTGAAAGGAATGTTGAAACTCTTTATGAGAAATTGGGGTAATCTATAGTAAAGGGTTTTATAAACTGCAATGTGTTATATGGATGATAAATGTGTGAAAGTTCTTAAAATTCTTAACAGAGAATTATAAACGTGACCAGGAAGGTCTTTGCATCCAATGAATACCAGTGGAATTCTTTCATAGAAAACCAATAGGGTCATTAAATTCCATGCTCCAAGGATTCAAGATTTTACCCCACCCCAAGCAAAAGAACAAGTGCAAATCTTTTTTTTTTTTTTTTAAACAAATACAAATCTTAAAATCTATGCCTTCTCTCTAGGAATTATTCCGGTTGTCCCACTGAACCACAGGAAAACTTCTCAAAATGTCGTCGCTTGACTGCTGGCTGGAAATTGGATGAAGTTTCATTTCTGAGGGTTATAGGGAGGTTCATGTAGTGTTAAGTTGTTATTTACTTCGGTTTATTTAAGATCTTCCAATAGTCTTGCTTAAGCAGAGGTAGAAATTTGTTAGAATATTGCTAGGATTTTTTTTTTCCAGATTAACACAGTGGAGGTTAAGAAATCAGGATTTTCTATTCTTATTATGTTGCCAGATGATACCCGGATTGCTTTTTCTTTTTCACTCTCATATCAGGCCTTAGAAAAATTATAGGATGTTCTGAATGTGATGACCACCAAGCCATATGCTGCTGCATACTGAATCAGAGTTCCAACAGACTTTATTTGCCATTGATTTACAGAATCTGGAGAGAGTTACAGATACCATTGAGGAAAATATTCACATCTCCATGGCTGGTGGTCCCAAAGTCTGATAAATATGTAGTGTTTATGTTCAGTTACATGGTGGTATTAACATTATAACTCTAAGATTAAATTCAACAGGTGGTCCTAATCCCCAACACCTGAATTTCTCAAATTACAGCCTGTCTGCAATGATAGTCTTGTCTCATACGGCTGCAGACTAAATTACTGTTGAGATTAAATCACTGTGTGCTTTTGTTGAAAGACATGCTGCAAGTCAAGCCGGTGATGAGCAATGTGTGTTGAAGCTTAAAATATCCCTTTCCATGGTCATATTCTCTCCTTCCTCGTTCACAAACGATGTGAGCTGAAATTGTAATTCCAGTGTGACTAAGTGAAGGCTACTTGGAGTTTCTTGTGATAATGAAGACATTTCATTTTCTGTTAGAGAGATTCTTTCTCTTCATTTCCAACCCTTTTCCCCAGACCTCTTCCCACCAACGTTTCACCAACTCATTTCAATCTTGTTCGCGTCTGCCACTGCCGGTACTATATCTGTATCTGCCATTAGTGTTCTGGTCCCCAGTTTTGGAGCCACTGATTTCTAAGCAGATCAGCCAGACAACAAGCAAAGTCAATTTTCAAGGCTTTAGAAACCTGTATTTAGAACTATAGCATAATGTATAACCAAACTAAAGCATGCGGGGGTGCGTGCGCGCGCACATACGCATATAGACAGACAGACACGCGCGCGCGCGCGCACACACACATACACACACACACACACACACACACACACACACACACTCTAAATCAAGCAACCTTCAGAGAAAAGCTTCAATTCTCCCAGCAGAGTGGAAGGGAGCATGGAGTGTATTCTGTTTCCAGCCTGGATCTGGTCTGGATAGATAAAGTCATTTGCCGTCTGGTGGACCCTGTGAAATGAAACTATGAGCGGATTCCCATTTCCAGTGGACAGGAGCCCTTATCACAGGAGGCCCACTTGTCACCTGGGCTGCCCTTTTCTAAGATGGCTTATGAAGGAGCAGTGATCAATGGGGTCTGAAGCTGAGCTGCTATCTCCTTGCTTCAGTAGTAGCTCCCAGGAACAGATTTTACACATACTAATAACATGCTTGTCCTTGGTTCTTTCTTTCCTTAAGCACTCAGTTATTCAGACAAAACGGAACTGCTTGGAGGTAACAGTATGTTTGCTATTAATTCACAGATGTCCAGCTGGAGTGATAGGACAAGTCAGTGTAAGAGTTGAAAAATAATTCAAAACCAGAAAAAAGGCACATGACGTATAACTTACTTTGGAATTATTCTTCCTTTTAAAAAGGAAAAATGTACCATTTATTAGACCCTGTTTTATAATATTTGAGGCATCCAATCAACGATTGATAATTTGGATCTCAAAATCAAAGTGAGCTCAAGTACTAAAATGTAGTAATTACTAAAATATAATCTGCCAATAGTGATGAAGCCCTGTTAACACAAATCGTCAACCAAAAAGAATGATAAAATGAATGATTTTTCATGGGGGAGGAGTTGTAATAATGTGATTGCTTTTAACAGGAGAAGTGTTCATGTAATATTTGTTATAATATATAACCTTCCTTAATTCTGAGAGCCAGGAGTGTTTCTTCAGGTTCCCAAGGAGTAATGCCAAGATACCCCCATGCCAAAGTCCAGACCACACCTGGTAAATAGGTCTGAGCCGGCTCCCTCTCCATTTCTGGGCATTCTGACCTCCTTGCTGGTCCTTGAAAACTCATTGTGCCTCAGGACCTTTGCACTTCTGTCCCCTCTCCCTGGAAAGCTCTTGCCCAAGATTTTGTACATGATTGGTTCCTTCTGGTCATTCAGTCCTCAGATCACATGTCATCTTCTAGATCATACTCTTTAAATAGCTCTCTCCTTAACAGTCATTCTCTATTATATCAGCCTGTTTTATTTTCCTAATACTAGTTTAACAATATCTGAGCGAATCTTAAAGTTGTCTTTGGTATTGTTTGCCCCCCCCCACCCCCCAGGTAGAATCTAAGAGCAATGATAGCAAAGTATTTGTACATCTTGTTGACCAGTTTCACTCCAGGCTCTAGAATAATACTTGACATTTAATGAGCACACAGCAGGTATTTATTGAAGGAAAGAAGAAAGCAGAGTATATGGGGAGAGGAGGTTGTGGAGAAAGACAAAGCTACCTCACCCTATGTAAACTCCTTTCATTATAAGAAGCATCAGTGCAGTCCCAAGGCCCTGGTATGTCTCATCTTTCCTAATTTGGTTTACTACTACTACACTACTAGTAATAATAATAGAAGGAAGATGAAGAAATGATTTAAAACAAGACTCTTTGAGAATGAGATTTAGGAGTTTACATTTTAGCAGGCTTCCCTTACAACTCTTATACACATTAAAGTTTGAGAATCATCAT